TAAATAAGCTAAACCCCCCTCCCTTACCTTATTTAGGCCATATGTGGCCTAAATAAGCACTCCCTAAAAAAAAAAAGAAAAAGACATCAGCCCGATGACCTCACGGCTGATGCAGGCATCTGCGAGGTTTTCAAAATGTAAGGACTGACGCTCTAGTCCACGTGACAGGTTTGAGGCGGTCCGGGGACTGACGACGGCATCTTTTAGTTTTAGTAGATCTAGGTGATTTGTTTTTTATAGTCGCGGTTTTACAGCGCTCGCAACTGCATAAGCTCATACGAGCGCCAAGGGGTGGATGTCAACAGAGAACAAGCCTGAACAGTACAAGGAATCAGACTTACTGACTCTGCTCACCTCTCTAGCTACAACTACAACAGTACAACGTCAGTTTCGTCTTTCAAGGTACCCCGGAAAAATCGGGTCACAAGTGTGACAAACATACAAAAGAAGTAGAGGTAAAATGACAATAGTAAGGAATAGGAAAGAAAAAGCAGCAGTTCCTTGTTGTAGTTCAGGAACAATTATGAGCGTGCAATTGTTGAATCAGCCCATTTACAATTCTACTGTGCGTAAGAACGAGAAATGTCCCCCCTTTGGAAATGGCCTAAACTAAAGACACTTCAGTCAGTGGCACCGCCCGGGGGGAGGGTGTTTTAGTAAGTGTTTTACGTCACTTGCAACACAATAAGGTCATATAAGTGCCGAAGATTTAAGGTGTTACAAGAAAGTAACAAACACAAAAAAAGAGGAGAGGTGAAGACGATAGATCATGTTTGATAGGAAGGAAGAAGCAAACCACACCAGAGCACCCGCCAACCACCACTGACGGGTATTGGGTAAAAACAACTGTACGTCTAGTCTACAGGAACCTTGTCACATAGATGATCTCTACAGTACAGTTGAGCCTAGTTTCTTTTTTTAGTTTTAGTAGAGGTTTTATGGCGCTCGCAATTGCATAAGGTCATATGAGCGCCCGAAGATTAGAGGTGTTACAAGAAAGTAACAAACATAAAAAAGAAGAAGGGGAGACAAGGATGATAGATTTTTCATAGGAAAGAAGAAGCAAACCACACCAGAGCACCCGCCAACCACCCACAGCCTCGTTTCTGGTCCGGCAGAAGTTTTTAATTTGAATTTATACGTAAACTTCAGCTGGGTTTGAATTTATACACGCACGTCCACACAAGAGAGAGAGAGAGAGAGAGAGAGAGAGAGACAGAGACAGAGACAGAGAGAGAGACAGAGAGCGCACGTCCACATGGGAGAGAGAGAGAGAGAGAGAGACAGAGAGCGCACGTCCACATGAGAGAGAGAGAGAGAGAGAGAGAGAGAGAGAGAGAGAGAGAGAGAGAGAGATGTACATGCAAATCACCAACAAAAAGACATTTTTGAACACAAATCACACAGCAAAATCATTTCTCTTGACGTTGAGCAGTCCCATCCTAAGCCTGTGACTGCCTCCAGTTGGGACCTCGGAAGGGAATAGTTTATTTCATTCTGATCAGTCCTGCCCAAGATGGCCACCTGTGTAAGATGTCAACATTTTACCTTGACCCCCTTAAAGAATTTCAGCTGTAGGCTCTACTTGGAATAGCTTTGGGAGTGTGCTCAGTTATGTATAGAATACATGTAGTATGAAATCATATAGGTCAAATACACTACTGGAGAGAAGTATGTAACGCTGCAAGCCACCTTCCTAGCAATCTTTGTTCATTTCCAAGCCCATAATTAATAAGCCTGTCCCCATGGTTTTATGCACCCCGCATAATTTAGCAAAATTTGATCATTTTTTGCATAAATTCTGATTATTTTCCTTTATCATTCTTAGTTAAAATTGAACAGAATCCCATAATTTCACATTTTTGGGTTCAGTTTGCATAATTTCAGAATTTTTCTTGCATAAAACGATGGGGACAGAATTAAGCCCATTCTAGTGTCTACCCACATTTGAAGACCTTCCCCCCCCCCCCCCCCCCCGGAAAAAAATAGACAGTAAAATAAAAAGAGAACACTTTTTATTTCAAAATGATCTACATGCCAATTTCAATATTTTCACAGGGCCTGGTAAGAGAAAACCAGTAATCCAGCCTCAGAGGAAACATTCAAGCATTTTAAGTGCACAATATGTACAAAAAATGTACAAAACATGAAAACTGCAATTTGGTAATACTATGTATTTACCCATACATAAATTTGTCAGTAAAATTTAAACATCATGTATCATTTTCATTTAGTTTTACTTTTAGTAAGAGTTTCATGGTACTAGCAACACAATAAGGTCATATAAGTGCCCAAGATTAGAGGTGTTATAAGAGAGTAACAAACACAGAAAAGATGGAGGAGAGATCAGGAGGATAGATGTTTGGTAGGAAAGAAGGAGCAAACCCCACCAGAGCACCCGCCAATTACCCATATAATTTTCATGATAATACACCCCTTAGCAGCAAAGTTGGAATTGTTCATCTTAGTTTTGAGGTCAGTATTAGGAAACCATGAAGAACAGAACACTCAGCTGGATGGATAAATATGACCTCAGTGTCAGGATATTAGACAGACAGGAACTCTTTGTGGAGCTAGAGAAAAATGGAAGTAACAATCGCATTTAGCAAAGAACACCCTCTCCCTCCCCACCCCGAAAATTAAACTCATTGTCAACAACAGCAGAACAAGTGGTGTAAAATATACAAATACAGTAGGCTATCATCAAAGAAAATGGAACAACATTTGTTCAGTCTAAAAGGCAAATAGATCATATTAACTCTACTCTATAATCTTGCAACAATACATTGGCATTAATGTGTTTAGCGAGTGTGGCTAAATCTGATAAACCAGGAAACAAAAAGTTTTAAAATAAGAGATAATCACAGAAAAAAACAATGGAACCCCCCCCCCCCACGTATCGTTATTCAATGCCAATGCCAAAAACTTCACTGTTTTTACAGAAAGGAACTTTCGTGATTTTAGTTTTAGTATGAGTTTTACAGCAATTACAACACAAGGAGGTCACGTAAGAGCTGAAGATTAGAGACATTACTAGAGAGCAACAAACAAAGAAAAGAAGGAGAAGAGATTTAAAGGATGATAGATGTTTGATAGGAAAGGAGCAGCCACACCAGAGCGCCCACCAACCACCCACAGACTGGGACTTCTGCCTGAAGTGTTACCACAGGAGCACACATACACATACCACAACCGTCAAATAATGCTGGGACAGAGCAAGGCGGCAACAACAGGGATAAGGTACAGTTATAGTATATACAGTGGGTGTCGCATTCAACCAGGTCACATTCAACGAGAAGTCGGCTCCAACGAGGCAATCCTTGACTCATTTGCTACGCCGAGCCGTGGGGGGGCGGCGCGGCTAAAGTGCCGTCAGTACGCTAAGCCGCCCCCGAAGGCTCGAGAACCGATCTTCAATTTCAGCTTAGATTCTATTCCAATCCACATATCCATGTTAAAATAAAGGTCATAATATAATGTTGACTTTCGGGTCAAGCATTTCCACTGAAAATCGGATGTTTAGATTCAGTTTTGAAACGCGATTTCGTAGTTTATTCGACTTTGTTTTATCGCGATGCCAAAATTATAGCCTGGACAGTCTTAGTAATTTTACACAACAAAATCTATCATTATTTTGCCCACTAAAGAAATGTAGGACTCTTTTTTATAATATTGATACGATTGGACTCGTATTGCCAAAGCACTATATTGAGAAATCAATATTTTTGAGTGCTAGATCTAGGTCTTGATCTAAATTGTCAAAATATTTTTTTCTCCCCAAAATCACTACTTTTTTAATGAAATTACACAAAAAATGCCACTCAAGACATGTATAGGTTTATTCCAAATGCAATTCTGAATAATTCCATATAAGATACGAATGGGTTTTTTTCTGTTTGTGATCGTTTTTCAGATTGTAAATTTTTATTATTTTTCACTATTGGATGTTATGATCCAAATGTACAAATATTATGGAATGTATGTAAATAACTGCAAACTTTTCAATATTTTCCAGTTCTATATTTATTTATGGTTATTTTGATGTATCATTTGACTAGGTGCAAACATATTTTTTGAGTTTCACCACAGATTATTAATTTTTATTTTCAAATTTTATCCGATTCCAATCAAAATTGTGTTGCATAATCGCCTCTTACAGTAACCAAAGTTGAAAAATACATAAATAAACATTACAGATGTATTCTACAAACCAAACTGAAAATCTTGGTATATAATACGTTGATGTTTATTTGAATTTGTGGCCCCAAAGACCTTTTAACTGCCCACTAGTCATCATCTCATTCGCCCTCACGAAAAAAATTAGTCCATAAGCTGAAAATAATACGTAGCGAATGAGTTAATCCCCGATTTTTTTCCTCTATACCTCTTTGTAAATGTACGTCAGCTCAAATGAGGTTGCAAATAAACCGAAGCTTCGCTTTCAACGAAGTTGTGATAACCAAATAAAAGCAATTAGCGGCTCCAAAAGAGAAGAATTGTTCTCCTTTCTCTCCATCTAACACGAAGCACAAGGCCCATCATCGATTCCTATCACATTGTATTGCTAGATCTAGTGTGCCTCTTAATATGGGCCCCAAAGCCAAAAGGATGGGCGCGAGTTAGCCTACGGTAGGGATGTGATTGGGTGGGTGGGAACGAACCCTGTACGGGTAGGTCTAGATAGAGACCTTCATTTTTTTCAATTTTCTTTTCTTCCCCTGATCAGAAAATCCAAGCTCCTGCCTTTACTTTTCTGTAGATATCCAGCCCCGGATGAGAGAGGTTACGTTTCCACACGAGAAGTGCTCCGGAAAAAATATATTTGAAAATGCAGAAATGACAGTCGGAACACAGATCAAACACGCGCACATTGATGTTGTTTTAATTACTGGTATTGGTACATTGTGTAATATAATAACTTGTCTCCTTTCTTTTCTTTAGTCTTAGTCACGTTCAACGAGAGGTCGGATCCAACGAGGACAGCAAGCCGGTCCCAGAAACCTCGTTGAATGCGACACCCACTGTATACAGAAGTAGAAGAAGACACAAGAGGCACCCTCCAACAACCAACAATTTGCAAACCAGTCTTCAAAAACACAGATACATCAACATAAAAAAGACAGCCTGCTACACAAGGGTTAGTGAAAGGAGTGTAGAGATGAGAGAGGGAACAAGTCTTTGCAATTTTTGCCCAGCAACATCTGCTTAACGAAACCAAATTTTTTCTCTTTTGTTCTCCCATCGCTCATCAGGGGGCACCGAACATATGAACCTAAGGTCATCATTCTTAACCCATTCTCATATCCTCTCCCCCCCCCTAAAGTCCCTCCAGCTGCCGCCAGCACGCAGAATAATACAGCATGACTAATACAGATGGTGTGGGGGTAACTCCACTACTTTCAGAGGGTCAGATAAGAAACACTGTTCACCTCTCCTATGTGCCGTGAAATACGTACTCCGGGATCTCATCTACAGGCAGTCCTGCGGTGGTGGAGACATGTACTTCGCATAGCTGCACTCATAATCTGTTGGCAAATGGGCATGGAGTATTTAGCAGAACTTTTCACACCACAAATACAGGTGTTAAAAATCATGGAACTCTAGAGTTCTAAGACTTTCTCCGGCATAACAGTTCGGTGTCCCACGAGGCTACGTATCGTTTGATAGTTTCCTCAACAGGGTCCCATGCTGTGTCCGGCTGGTCTGAACGGCATCATCCCCTATGGAAATAGAGCGCCTCGCTGTGTCCAGTCTGAATGACATCACCCCCTAAATAAATAGAGCGTCTCGCTGTTCCTGAAATAAGTGGATGACCACTTGAGCCATGAGCCGAGGATTTCAGTTCTGCCTTCAGTTCCCTGTGCAAACAATACAAAATGCGACGATTAGAATACATCGAAGAATACACACAGGATTACTTGACACCTAAGTGACTGCCATTGAGTATACTCGTCTATTTCGTAGCACAGCTTCCATTATATATAACCAAATGGACCAGGATCTGAGCCCTCACCTTAACCTTTCTGTGACTGAAAACACACGTCAGGGTATATCTAGCAATCAAAGCGCAGGAGCTCAGATGCACAGGTCTGGGGGCTTCAATGGGATTGTTTGAGTAAGCACAATTGCAGCCATTTTGTGCAGGGAAAAAGTAATGCAGAACCCCCCCCCCAAAAAAAACAACAACAACAACAACAGCCCCCCCCCCCCCAAAGACAATAAAACAAACAACAACAAACCCAAACAAAATCAGGACAGGAAAAAAAAAGGACATCAATCTTTCAGTGGCATCCTATAATCACCTGCCTTCAAAGAGCATGGAGTTGTTTTTCATTGTTTTATTTTATTTATTTATTATTTTTTAATTTTTTTTTTTGCATCTTACAGCACTTGCAACACAATTACATCATATGGTCGCTTTTAAGGACAAGTGGGCTAACCCAGATTTCGGGGGTTTCCAGAAATCTTGACCTACACCAAAAAGGAAAAGTTTTTTTGTTTTTTTTTCTAGTAGAGATTTTACAGCGCTCGCAACTGCATAAGGTCATATGAGCGCCAGAAGATTAGACGTGTTACAAGAGAGTAACAAACATAAAAAAGAAGGAGGGGGAGATAAGGACGATAGATGTTTGATAAGAAAGAAGGAGCAAACCACACCAGAGCACCCGCCAACCACCCGCAGGAAAAGTTTGGTTTCCTTGGTGTGCATATTTGTTTGGTTATAGAGAAAACTCTCCTTGTCTTTTATAGAAACTGAACAAGGGGCAAAAACTTTACCTTCGATTTTCTCTAAACGGCATTTTTCGGGATAGCCCCCTTGTTCCTAAGCGCTACCATATATAACAAAGATTAGAGGTATAACAAGAGAGTAACAAACACAAAAACGAAGGAGGAGGGACAAAGGATGATAATGGTTTGATAAGAAAAAAGGAGCAAAGCATATATGAGAGCACCCACCAATCACCGACAGGGGTAAGTTTATTTGTTTGAGTGAAGAGAAGGCACACCAACACAACAGCAGCCATCTAGTGCTGGGAAAAAGCAAGACACACAGACAGAAATAACACAGGGGAAAGAAAAGAAGTAGGAGCTACCAGTGGCACCTTCACACTGCCCGAGTTCAAGGGGCAATGGACAGGCAATGAGCATACTTGCTTTGAAGAATACTTTAACCCCCCCCCCCCCAAACATATCAGACTTTCAGTATCTTTAAAAAAAGTTTTAGTAAGAGTTTTACGGCACTTGCAACACAATAAGGTCATATATAAGTGCCGAAGATTAGAGGTGTTACAAGAGAGTAACAAACACAAAAAAGAAGGGGAGATAAAGAAGATAGACGTATGATAGGAAAAAAGGAGCAAACCACACCAGAGCACCCGCCAACCACCCGTTTTCAGTATCTAACTCAGTCTCCAAACATTAGGTAAAAAGAAATTATGACCAGCACATTGTTTGTTGCCCAGGCACATGTATGATAAGAGTGAAAATTATTTCAATCTTATTGAAACACACACTTCAACAAAGAAAGCATAGCTAGCAGCCACGGTCTCTACTGATCAGCCAGCAACAGGACTGCAGGTTACCAAGGCGTTAAACAAAATAAACCTGTCTAAACTGACAAGACAGACGTCTTGGACAGCATCATTATAATATGTGTCACGACGCGGTGGAATCAGGCGCTCGTCAATTTTTGGGCATATGGGGATTTTTGTACCATCTTAAAGCCTGTTCATTTGTCTTCCTTTTGATGAAAAAATATTCATCTAGCTTGAATAGAAGTCGAGATATTTGCAATTGAAGAAGGTGGGGTAGCCTGGTTTCAGTGGTTAAATTAATGAGAAAATGGCTGCCAAGTTTGGTAACTCCAATAGCTTAAGAGTCCTTGAAAACTGAAAATTACAAATTTTGTGCCTTTAAACAAGGTTTTCCAGTTAAATTCACATGGAAATATGTTTTCATTTGAACGTAAAAGGTGTCTAGACAAAAAACAATATTTGATCTTCAATTTCATTATTTTGACGAGCGCCTGATTTCACCATGATGCCTTACATATAGGGAAAATCGCAAGGAGAAGGGGATGAGGAGTGGGAAGCAGTCATTTGTACTGGTGGCCTTTCGAGCAGGTTCGACTATATATGCAAAAAAAACAAAAAACAGACCCTAGTCAATGCAACAGCAAACACAACATCGATCATTTTTTAACACCTGCTCCAGCCTGCCTATTGATCTACATGTCCCATCATCACAAGATAATGTCACGGTGCTGAACAAATGGCCAAAGTCATTATTTTCCCTTTGGAGAAAACTTCAAAAGCATACTCATTTCTTCAGTAATTATGACTTAAGCATTTTGCTATTTCTTAAATTTGAAAAAAAAATGTATTGGCACTTTAAAAAAATTCACATAGAAACGTGCAGGAGTCATTACAGAATTCAACTCTGTATCAATTCACAAATGGTCAAAAAGTATGACTTAGGCCTTGTTCAGCACCATGATGATAAAAGTATTTAAAGCAGTACACTAGCATTCTGTTGTGATGCAACGGTACCGGTTTCATTACCACTGCTAAGCCCTAAGTGGGTTCCACTGAGGACAGACCCAGAGCTACTCACCTCGTGGTTCTTTTTTCAAGTACGGGTGTACCAGCAGCTCATCAGTGGTGGGCCGTAGTCGTACATCTCGGGTGAGGCATTTCTGGCAAGAGACAGAAGGTTGCTGGCTGGGTGATGGGAACTCCACAAACACAAGTGGAGAGAGAGAGAGAGAGAGGTGGAGAGAGTTGGAGAGATAGAGAGGAGAGAAAGGGGAGATAGAGAGGAGAGAGAGAGAGAGAGAGAGGGAGGGAGAGAGAGAGAGAGAGAGAGGGAGGGGGCGAGAGAGAGAGAGAGAGAGAGAGAGAGAGAGAGATGTGATGGTGGTGCCAGAAAACATTCATACTACCTAACAGTTTTGAGTATCCTACTACATAACTTCAACAGTAATTCAATTCACCCATTCAGCGTATTGGCTGGCTTTCACAAGGATTCCAGATTTGTCTAAATTTTTATGCCAAGCCAGAGACAAACACTGACAAAAACTTTCCACAAACAAAAAAGAGCACTGCTGTGAACTCAATGATATGGTTGAGAGCAATTTCAAATTAAGATGAACTTGTTAAAGAAAAAGAGATGGAGAAAAAAATAAGAGCATTTCCAGCTCTGAAAATAACAAAAGCAGCAGCATGCACATTTCCGTGTGCCCAAATCAGTGACAACGTAATAATATTCAGGAATAGTCTGCAAGCCTACACTTGTGCATCATTTCTTAATTCTCTGGCTTGAACCATGAACAAAGAAACCCCATGGATTGTTCTTAACTGAAAGGACATGGTCTCATACAACGAGAAGGAACAAAAATTCTATTAAAAGAGAAAGACTCACCATATATATATATATATACAAACATTTTTTCATCATATTTCGATTAGACAGAATCCATCCAAGCTGTAGATCGTTGTGAGTTTGTATGTGCGCATGTGCATATGTACGTATGTGTATGTGTGTATGTATGTGTGTGTGGTGCGCGCGTGCATGAATATGTGTGTGCACGAGTATGTAACACTATGTGCCTTTAAAATTGATTTGTAAATCCATAATATGTATCATGTTAAGCGCATAGAGCATTGCATAAGTGGATATGCGCTATATAAATGCAATCCATTATTACAAAAGTTAAAACAGACTTTTTGGGGAGGGGGACGTGAAACATCCTTGACGTAGGGAACTACGTGAATATTTCCAGCTCCGAGGCACTGATTTACAACAAGCAGAGGTAGTCTAAGTCTTAATAGAGCTTACCTTGAGAATGTCCATCAGAGCCTGGTCGTCTACACCGGGGAAGGCGATGGTGTGGGAAGGGTTCACGATGGCGTCCAGCTTGTGCCGCAGGTGCTGGAACGGGGTCCGGCCGTACACCATCTGGTACAGGATGCAGCCCAGGGACCACACGTCGCTGCGCACCCCAACCTGCACCACAGTTAATACACACAACTCCATGCCATGTTATTTCATTTTGAGGGGGGGGGGGGGGGGGGGGTCATAGTTTTACGGCATTTGCAACACAATGAGGTCATATGAGTGTCAAAGATTAGAGGTGATACAAGAGAGTAACAAACACAAAAATAAAGGAGGGAAGATTTAAGGACAATAGATGTTTGATAGGAAAGAAGGAGCAAACCACACCAGGGCACCCGCCAACCCCCCACTTCTTCCGCTTGAGTAAACGTTTTACAGCGCTCGCAACATAAAAAGGTTATACAAAGGCTAAAGATTACAGGTGTTATTACAGAGTAACATAAAAGAAAAGGATGAGATGGGGTATGAAAAGGATGATAGGTGTTTTATTGGAAAGACAGAGCAAACCACACCAGAACACAGCTCACCGCACGGCCTGATTTTGGTCAATATTTCTAATTAAAATGTTAAAATGCTAAAAATTTAGTGTAAATAGATTTTTAATTTAAAACAACTTTCTAAATAACACTAAAAAATTTCAAACAATTCAATTTTGCAACTTCCCATAAAGGCCAATGGTCTTCATAAAATCCAGCATTCTGTTGGGATCAACGATGGAAAACAGATCATGCAATTTTTTGCATCTAAAATATTTACTTCGGGTCTCTCCGAAGTCTAAGACATTCGGTTAAAATGTGTCTAATGTAAAATCTGTGTCGCATCCGACACAGAACAGCTTCCCTGAAGGAGGTATTTATGTGTTAGGGCCGTGTGTCCGATGCGTTATTGAGTAAAAATGACTTCGTCTCTTCTGGAGAGGCCCGAAGAATTTCGCAGTCCCAGTTTGGGCTTAATGTTAAGTTTGTTAACTTGCTTTTTCCAATGAGTCTCCCACAGACTGGCCTAAACGATCAAAATTGGGTGGACAGTGGCATGACGTAAGAAAAGCTTCCAATGGCAGTAGGTAGGCTACCTTGTATCTGGGCTTGTTCCCCGCAGGATCTGCGCTGCTGGCAATGAGCGCCTCGGGACTCATGTAGCTGGGTGTGCCCACCATGTTCTCCTTCAGCACACTTGTCTTGTCCACCTGCAGCGCTTTCGCGATGCCAAAGTCGATCAACTTCACAGCGCCTGACACCAAGATGAAGTTGGCTGGCTTCAGGTCAGAGTGGATCACGCCTGCGACAAGAAAAACCCAAACAAAAACACACAAGCATGACATGAAGGTCTCAGGTATAAAACTCTATGAGCACAGAGAGGAAAAATGAAAATTTTAAAAAAATGTTTCTGAGCTACAGAGGGGAAAAATGAAAATTAAAAAAAATTGTTTCTGAGCTACAGAGGGACCCCCACCCCCATCTGTTTAAACAACTTTTTTAAAGCCACAAAATTCAACTTAAACCCCTTCTTCATTACTCCAGATTTTTGCTTCGTTATTTCTACATACCAGTGAAAGTGATATTTACTCCATTTTCCCAGTTCAATAAAATGGGATAGAGTTGCTTTAGCCACAGAGCATTTCACATTTACACCTTATAACACAGAAAAGAAAAGGAACCCATCTTCAGTCACTTAGGCCAATGCCAAATTCCTCCGAGAAAGAAAAAACCCATTTTGTTCAGTTGTACTTGTGCAATATTCACTAAAATATCCTCTCCCCTCCCTTTTTTGAAAAGACCTGTCTGTGTCTCACAGGTAAATCTGTTCCATCTACAAAAAAACAACCCAACCCCAGTAGGAACAGGAATGGTATGAACTATACACACCTCACAAGATCTGAGTTTTTTAAGACAAATAACAAAGCATCTCCACAAATTATGTCTGACAGGAGACAGGCCAACACAACAAACACACAGGGGAGGAGGCTGGTTGCTTGCGTATGAGGAAAGCAACTCACAAGACACAAATGGGTCATTTCGAAGGCAAAGCACTTGGTTCCGAGAAAAAAAATAAAAAAATAAAGAACCGAGGAAAGAGAAGCTATAATATATGTAAGCAAAAGTTGCACAAGTACAAAAATTGAGCATAAAGGTTCTGGACTGTTTTTGCATCAGTGCATGGTACGAGGGAGGCGACGTTCAACCTGGTGTGCTAGGGTGTAGTGGGTTTATGTACACCGACCCCTGCCGATGGAGTGAGAATTTATTTTAGTTTTAGTAAGCATTCTACGGCACGGCACTTGAAACACATTTAGGTCATGCAAGTGCCAAAGACTCGAGGTGCTACAAGACAGTAACATACACCAAACAAAAAAAAAAAGAAGGAAGAGAGATAAAGACGACAGATGCATGATAGGAAAGAAAGAGCAAACCACATCAGAGCACCTGTCAACCACCCACGGAGGGGGGGGGGGGGGGGATGAGAGAGAAGAGACTACACTAGGAGCGTCAATGAGCCGAGTCACAGCCTACCTTCCTTGTGCATGGCGTGTACCGCCTTGACCATCTGCCCCCAGAAGTAACAGATGGTGATGGAGTGCAGTTCGTCCGTGTTCTTGGCATTCTGGGCTATGAACTTGGCCAAGTCTGTCTCCCCAAATTCCAGCACCATCATCAGTTTTTTGCTCGACTCACTGTATTCCCTGCAAATTTAACGCAAAAAAATCCACAATTTGACAAAGGACAAGATGAAAAAAAAAGCGCCTCAATCATGCAACTCTATATATTAAAAAAAACAACAACCCAACAACAACAACAACAAAAAAGCCACCTTTCCAGAGGCTAGACATTTTGTCCAAATTCTCTAAAGAAAAAAAAAATCTTTTATGAAGCCAAATTATTTTGTTCAACTTCTCTGACGATTCCTCTCACCAGGCAATCGCCCTTTCTACATAGTTTCTAAAAAGTCACAAGACAAAAAAAAGAAAAAACCCTCCGTACAGACGCAAGCTCAAAGACAAATTTTTTTTAAAAAGCAACATGATAAAGAAGTGGGCACTATACCCCAAAAAAATTATTAAAATAATAAAATCCCCAGATAAAGCTGAGCCAACTGACCAGTCAAACAGCTTGATGACCCGATCACAGCCATTCAGCTTCTGCAGCAGGCCAATCTCATTCATGTAGCCTTCCAGGATGAGGCGGTTGTCCCCGGAGAGGTCCACCACCTTGAGCGCCCGGATCATGCAATTCTCCATGTCCAGCACCTGGAACACCTTGGCCGAACCGCCGCGGCCCGCCAGCCGCATCACCGGGTAACACTTGCCATTCACTTGCTTTGTCTTCTGGGCCATCTGGAATGTTAAAATGCAAAAATAAATAAATATGTCTCGACGTGGTGGAATCAGGTGTTCGTCAATTTTTGGGCATATATGGGGTTATTGGTATCATCATAAAGCCTGTTGATTTGCCTTTCTTTTGGTGAAAAAAAAAGCCATCTATATTGAACAGAAGTCGAAATACTTGTGATTGAAGGAGGTCAGGGTCGCCTTGTTTCAGAGGTGAAATTAGCGAGAAAATTGTTATAGTTTCGTTATTTCTATAGCTTGAGAGTCCTTGGAAACTGAAAATTGTCATTTTTGGTGCCTTTTTATCAATGTTTTTCTGTAAAATCCACACAGAAATGTGTTTTTAAATGCATATAAAAGGTGTTGAGCCCCCCCCCCCAAATTTTTTTTTAAATTGCCCAACAGTCAGAAAAAAGCCAATTTCTTAGAGTTCACTATTTTGACGAGCGCCTGATTTCACCACGAAGCCTCACAAATAAATTTTAAAAAATAAATAATGTAGTTTTTTTGTTAACTCTTTGACTACCATGGGCCGATCTATCGGCTCCATAACTTCCTAGTTCGTGGACAAGAGCCGAATTATCGGCTCGCGCTTCTCTTTCCCTTTCCCTTCCACAATTTGACTCAACCTTTTCATTTCATGTTTTAAACTGCTCCGCTTACCATACATCAGTCAACCAGTGAAGGAATTTGGCCCCTTTTGTGTTTTATTCTGCTGTTTTGGGGGCATTTTTTCATGTTTTTTGGACCCACCCTGTGTTGCTCGAATTAGTTTACACGCATAGCAACGGAAAAATGGCTGATAACCCATCAGGTTCCCCCCCCCCCCCCCCCCCCGTCACAACGTTTTTCTGCTTCAAAAGCCCCGAAAAAGTTTGATTGGGAACTGTCAGTACTTTCCGATAGTGATGTAGGAGGTGATGAAGTTAGACCTGAGTCGGACAGCAGCGACAGCGATGAGAATGAAGATTCGAAAAGAGGGGTGTGTGTGTAGCGTTTTTTTCTTTTTTTTCATTGTGAGTGATTTCACCAAAAGTGCGACAACTTTGTATATACTTGACCATTGTGCATGAAACTTGGCCCAGTTAGAGACAATTGAATATACTTCAGTACGACCAAGTCATGAAGTGATTGGATTTAGCAGCTATACACTGTGAGAAATGTAAGTTGAAAATATTTTTTATATTTTTTTCACCTTGTGTTCACTTACCTCCCATGTTTGTTTGGATTTATGATTTTGTTCAATTTTTTAATTAGATTAAAAATATTCTACATTCAATTACCTTCATTTTGGTATGTAACATGTCTGACTTCCAGATTGAATTATGCCCATCAGACACAAAAGAAGAACAGGGGTACTTCTGAAATTTTAAGACTAAGAAATGCCTTGGTCACAGCGTAGAAAATGCCTTGGTAGTCAAAGAGTTTAGCGGCAGCCCCAACTGACACAATTTAAGTCATTTAGGGAATGGGCTTTGATACTGCCTGTGAAGGTCAACTAGGGCTGAGAGGGAGGGATACAGCATCCCAGCAGAAAGACTTGGATACTCAACTGAATTTCTCCCCACTTGGGAATCAAACTCGGGTCTACTGCATGAGATGGCAAAGCACCTAATCGCTATACACCACAGATGCCGGTTGGCCAAATTGAGCATTAGTTTTGTTGGTTTTCATAAAGACAAACACTCAGCGCAGGGAGAAAGTATGATAGCCAGACAGATATAACAGAAGGAAAGAAAAGAAGGACCTACCAGTAGCATCCTCCAACCATCCGTAGCATATTAAGCAGAAGACATGGCTAATATGAAATTGAGATAAGCAAGGAAACATCACAATGGTCAGCTAAACCTGGCATGAACCAAGCAAAAAAAATAAAAGACAGACAGAAATAAAAGAACTGCAGAGAAGCAGGAATAGTAAAATGCATAGCGGTAAATAAGAAGTGGGCGAATGCTAGATGGTGAGCTGGGAGCTCTTTACTTGAGAAGTAAATAGCCTGCCTCTCTTACAAAAGTTTTAGGTCTGATTTCCAGTTTGTGTTAGCAAATTTAGTTTTAGAAAGCGTTTTACAGCATTTGCAACACAAAAGATCATAGAAGTGCCGAAGATTTGGTGTTACAAGAGAGTACCATACACAAAACAAAAAAAAAAAAGAAGGAAGGGAGATAAGGACGATAGATCACAGGAAAGAAGGAGCAAATCACACCAGACACCCTCAAACCACAAACAAATACTTGAGCAAGTTTGATGGATAACCTGGTCGGTTTTTCTTTTACAGAAGAAAAACATTGTTTGCACTAATTTCGTCAACATCTCACCTGTTCACATGATTTTGCAGGGGTTTGGACTGGAGCCTGCTGAGCGGTACTGAGAAAAAAAAAAGAAGAAAGTTCTGTAAAAATTCCTATGATCTTTGCACTGTAATTCATTTTACAATGTCCCAGAAAGATTTAGTTTTAGTAAAACATTTATGACAGTACACAAACAGGTCATATATAAATGCTGAAGATTAGGAGAAACTAGAAAGTAACATACAAAGAAAAGAAGGAGAGATATTGGGGTTACATGATTGATATGAAAAAAGGGGGTAAACAGTAGTAAACCACATCAGAGCAACCTCCGACCGCCAATGTAAAAATATTGATGAAAATTGTTCTGAATATGTAAACATGAGTAAAGTAAGCCATCCTCAGAAAAACTAATCATTCCAAAAAAAGGACATTCAAAGGCGGGGGGAGAAACAAAAAAGCAACATGTGTGTGTGTGTGTGTGTGTGTGTGTTATTGGCTGTTAGCTTGACTCTTGCAAAAACAAAAGAAATCAACAGGACACGTCACATGCTCAAATTATTAATTAATTGTACATCGCTAGGGAACATGCCGCATATCCGGTTTTTGGGGTTTTTTTTTTAAAGGAAAGTAGTATTCCCAGTGACACTGGGGATAGGCCCAGAAACTATTCCCAGTGACACTAGGGATAGGCCCAGAAACCACTGGCAATAGTCCTAGGGTTGAATTGTTCCCAGTGTCGACACTGGGAATAGGCCCAGAAACTATTCCCAGTGGCACCGAGAACAGACAGGCCCATTAGATCTATTGTTCCCACACTGATCTACATGGGCATGATGGAGATGGGTTACTAAATACTAGACTATATCTAATGTAGATCTAGATCTAGATTCTAAATCTAACTAAACTAAAGTAAATTCTTGTGTGAGTGGAAGAATTTTTTTCAGAAAAAGGAATGATCATTCTATGCTTGCTTGTTATTCAGTCGTAATATATGTATGTGTAGATCTAGATCATACGGATTTTGGAGACCACAGTACAGGACAGGTAGAAATCCTTCCCTATTCTTCTTTCTTCTAGATCTAGATCTAGTTCTAGATTTAGATCTATTCTACGGTCAAGTCTAAGCCCTAAGTAAGAGAAGAGAACAAAAGTACTGAACTGAAGTTAGAAGAGAAAGCTGATTTTTTTATGCAAAAGAGTTCCGTTGTCACCGAGAATAGTTTCTGTACCTATCCCCAGTGTCACTGGGAATAGTCACTTGATTTTTAAAAATTCTCTCATTTGCCTGGGTGCCGTCATCCACAATGCAAGGCGCAAGAATTTTTTTATACTTTGACACAAACTTAAGCTGGCCTTTCTAAATTCTCCCAGCTACTATTTTCTAAGGGCAAAGTGTTACTAAGCGACTAGGGCTCAGTGCACAGAGGGTGTTAGCTACACTTGACGTAGTGACGTAGACTGTCGGGATCTGACTTTTCTTAACTTATACGCTGGGAAGGTGGGGATGGGTTGGGAGAGCTAAACAGCAAATACATTTCTTTAAATCGGAATCAGGGGAAGGGTGTTACAATCTTATTTCTGTAAAATTGAATTTTTTTTCTCTTATTAAATTAGAAAACAACGATTCCGCCAAATATTGTTGGCAGCCCTTTGATTTCCTGGCTTTCTCCAGTATATTTTCGTTTCCATTTATTTTATGGGGGGTATCCCGACTGGGAAATCTGAAAATGAAATTTCTGGCTTTTTCCCATTTGACTGGGAACCCAGTGCATAGCGAAATTTATAGATAACGAAAAGATTTCTGCATCCCGCCAATTTCACTACGAGTTTCCTAGACTTGTAAAATGAACTGACTGCTGCACCAAACTTTGTCAAATTTATATAAAGAAGTTTTAGGTTTAGAAGAGTTTATAGACACTTGCAACACAATAAGATCATGTTAAGCACTGAAAATTAAAGGTGTTACTGGAGAGTAAAATACACCAAAAAAAAAGAAGAGGAGATAAGGGCGATAGATGTTCGTCAGAAGAGAAGGAGAAAACCACCCATATTAAAAGCGGGAAATGATCATTGGGACATTTTTTAATCAGCGGGACCCCAGTACAATGACTTACTATGTAGCATTGTTTATCTTTGCTTGGCCATCTCCAGAAGGTAAAATCTCATCCGGCAGCTTGGGCGCAAGGACTGGTGGTTCCACTCTGTTTTGCTTCAGGGGAGAGAGAATTCTATTCTCATTCACTATATCCATATTTCTGTCGGTATTCATAGCAACAAAGTTCTCCTTGTTCCCAGTTTTGTTTCTGTCTCTGGATAGGGGACACTTTTCTGTCGAAGATGAGGCACTTATGTGGGTTGATGGGATTTTATCCCTCTCGTTCAACTCGCTGGCTTTACTGCTTGAATCACTGCTGTCTTTGGCGCAAGGATTTACAACTCTGTGTGCATCGTACAGATTTGTGCTTGGTGGCTGCCTCACTGTAGAGTGAGTGTTCATTGAGGCTGTAGGATCAGCAGCAAAAGCGGCGAAAGGTTCATTTGTTCTTGACGAGTTCACTATCTGCTCTCCATGTCCAGATAGAAGCTTGCTGTTTTCTCTCTCTGTATTCTCTGATTTGAGTCCAGCTGCAATTGAGTAAGTGATACAATAAACTTATTAATAACAAATTCACTATCGATGAGGATTTTCAGTTTTTAGTTTTAGTAAGAGTTTTACGGCATGTGCAACACAACAAGGTTATATAAATGCCGAAGGTGTAGAGACGTTACAAGAAAGAAAAACAAAAAAGAGGAGAGATAAGATTTTTGATAGAAAAGAAAGAGCAAACCACCCAAGAGCATACGTCAACCACCCACGAAAAAGATTTTTAAGACTTATTTGTTCAGATAAGTTCAGTAAAATAACTAAATACTGTACTTGGAAGCCTCTGCAAATTTTTGTTAGTTGACCTCTACTTGTTATTGTTGAGTTTTCACTGTAACTAACTACAAATTGGGGTTTCACGAGAACTCAATGTGCCGAAATCGGGGTGAAAAACGGACGAATACCAAGGGCCTATAGTGTATGGTATTTGTGAATCATTTAACCCACTGCTCGTAAACCGACCTGTCGTTTTTCAATCGGACCTTCAGCAATCCACAATAACGAATCAGTATCGAGCAGTCTCAACACCACTACTAAATGTTGATGGTCTACAAAAATTATACTGACACAAAGATGGGCAAAAAGGCACTAACAACACTAGAGGAAAAACATTACTACAACAAATTAGAAACTTACTACTGAAATATTTTTTTTAATCACTATTTTTAAAAACTTGAAAATGATTAAAAATCAAAATCAGTGTTGTAATAGATTCTTCATTCTTAATTCACAAACGCCTTGAAGTATCACTAAATAAAATAGTTTTGGCAGATAGTCCCATTAAGACATGCATATAAGCAAAACATGAATATAGATTACACTTTGGAAAAAAAAGGTATTTACAAAAAAAAGTAAGCACAAAACATGCCAGTACAAATATAACTCTAATAGATATTCTTGAGCATTTTACTCACCGTGTAATTTGCAATAAGATTATTTTTGGAGAAGCAAAAGAAGGGGGGAAAAAAAACCAACAAAAAAACATCACCCTGCTTTACGAAACTCATCATCACTGCAAATTTTAAAAAAGAAGAAAAAACTGATCTTTAAAATGTAAATAAGAGCTCATAGTGTGGATTAAGTTTACGATTGCATCCATAAGTTACAAAATAAAACATTACTGAAGAACAGAAACGGAGTAGCAGAAAGAATGATCAAGTCCATTCCTTTTGGCCAACTTACAGCAGTCGATGGTGGCAGATTTAGGCGGAAGGTCCAAACGCTCAAACGCAGACACTGTGATTTCTCCAACCTTATCATCATTGCTCTCCTTTTCTTCGTGGAGTGTCTTCGGTACCCGGCGTGGGGGAATCCCTCGACCAATTGGCTTCCTGTGCAGGGGTTGTCGAGGGGAAAAGACAATGAACGTTATGAAGATTATAATTACGCACCTTTCTTTCAGCTCATCATGGCTCTCCAGCCATATGTCTCTTTCCTATAATGGGAGATTGAAAGTCAGTCCAAGGCCCAATCTTACTGAATTTGAAAGGGGAAATTATAGGTAAAGAGCTGCTCTCACACATGAGATCTAGGTAAAGAACAATGAGGGTTTCAAGTGCTGTACCTTTTAAACCTTTTAAACTTCACTGTGAAAAAAATATCCTCTCCCCTTGAACAGGCAGCTCTGTAATCCTGACTTTTTAAAAAGCAAAAAACGATGTAATAACCCCCCCCCCAAACAGTGAGGGTAACTGATCTGAATCCCCAAAGAGGAATTCTTGACCTTAGGTTGTTTCATGAATTCCTATGGCTCGCCACTAACTTTCAGCTGTACGGGAGGTCCTTCGGTTTTAAAACAACAAATCTTACAGCATTGAAGGGTTCGTTGAAACCAAATTTGGGTTTAGAGGGAGAACACTCCAAAAACCTCAATCCTCTCCCCCCACAAAAAAAATGTACACCGCAGCCTACCTTGCTGGTTCTTTGACAGCACTAGCGGCTTTTGAGCGCATGTCTGGGATGCTGTGAAAGTGGTGGAGGCTCCGCTTAGCCGTGCCGCTCTCCCCAACGGGCTGACCATTCTCAGATGACAGCGCGGATCTCTCAGGCCTCGACAGGTGAGACGAGGGACCCGCGGTTTGACCGGGTGCCCATGCTGACGATGGCGTTGATGAAGACAAGAAACCCAGGGACGAGGCTGGCAGTGCTGGTGCTGGGGTGGAGGCGAGAGCGGACGACGACGAGGAAGTGGGATGCATACTGGAGGGGTTCCGAGTCCTCCAGCAAAGAAACGACAGATCCTTGTAGTGGCTTGACAGAAGGTGGGGCGGGTCTGGGGGCTGCCGTGATATCGGGGTTTGGGGGAGCCCCACATGCTGGTGTGAAGCCGCGGCAGGTTGCGCTGACAGGTCCGAACCCTCTGCCTGGACACACTGGGTGATGTAGTCCAGACCCTGCTGAACTTCTTGTGTGTTGGACTTGCAGCCTGGAAGAGCTTGTTGCAGACACTCTCGGCTCCCTCTGAAACAGACAAGTATCACAAGCAAGAGAGCTGTAACGACAGAGTTGAATAGACAGGAGTTGCTTTTGTTTCTTTAAGGGAAGAGCCGGGTCGGCGATCCCAAAGAATATCGATAAAATTTTTCAAACTATCGAACTTTTGTTTTTTTCGGAAAATCATCCTTCGACATCTGTTCCATCAGGTCACAATAACAAAACAGTAGAAAAAACACCCTAAATGACCTCAAAGGATATTTGAAAAGTGCATAGTCCACTAAAAATCCTTTTTAAAATTTGTTTTTCTCAAAATCTGCTTTTTGGCATATGTGACCTCCTTGGTGAAAGGGCAAATTTGTCATACAAGTGCTTTAAGGTCTATTCTGGGAATCTATGTGAGGAAATTGGAAAATATTGGTACCTTGTGGAAATATTCAAATTTTTTGTCACACATCTTAAGTTTCGTAAACTGACTCTCGGGGGTCCACTAATTTTGGGCTCACTTTTTTACTTTTAAAGATAGGTCAAAAACCTCACATAGATCCACAGTTCATATAGGTTTGCACTTGTGTGCCAAATTTCAGGCTGTAGTTTCAATATTTTCTATGAAATTCTTCTGCACTAAGAAACTGGTTTGAAAATCCAAGATGGCCGCACAGAGACCCATTTTTCAGAAAAAATCAACAAATTCACCTTAGTACATCCTATTTACCTATGAACTTCTTCTTGCACAACTACATGAAAGTGAATAAAAGTCATTCTTTAAGAATTTTTTCCCGGGAGTGTACTTCTCCCCTTTAGAGTTTTAAAGAACTTTCAACATGGGTCATATAAGTGCTGAAAATTAGAGGTGTTACAAGGTAGAAACAAACACAAAAAAAGGAGGAGAGATAAGAACCACAAGATGTTTGGTAGGAAAAATGAAGCAAACCACACCAGAGCACCCGCCAACCACCCAAAGACAGGAGTTGTGTGGTCATGTAGTTTGTTATGAGTCGGCACAAAAATGTCCCCCATTTCAATAGGTGGCATGTAAGGACAAAATAAGAAAAAGGAGGAGCAGACTGCCTGACAAGAGGAGAAGTTTGGATGCAGAAAAAGAAGAACATTGAACTAATAACAGGTGGAAAAGAAGTTGTTTGTTTTAGTAGAGGTTTTACGGCGCTCGGAACTGCATAAGGTCATATGAACGCCAGAAGATTAGAGGTGTTACAAGAGAGTAACAAACATAAAAAAGAACAAGGGGAGATAAGGACGATAGATGTTTGATAGGAAAGAAGAAGCAAACCACACCAGAGCACCCGCCAGCCACCCACGGAAAAGAAGGAGGATCTACCACCCACCCAAGGAGAAAACCCCCCCCCAAAAACGAACTACGGAAACAGGAACCTAAACATATGGGGAAGGGCATGCGACAATAAACGAAACAAAGGATGAGAAGAGACACAGGAGGATGATCTGTTTAATTCAGCATTAGTAAGTACAGTTTACTCTTTGGCCTTCAACATGCCATTTTGAACACATTTACAGTGAATTTTTGTTTTTGTTGTTGTTGGTGTGTGTGTGTGTGTGTGTGCGTGCAGTTTTTTGCTCGTCAAACTCATCAATACGGCCTATGTAAACCATCCAGGATATATTATAGAGAGAGATTGTCATGCCATACGTCAAATCAAAGTTAATTCCATGTGCCGAAGCTGAAAATCTAGGACCCATGAAGGTATACTATGTCTTTGTTGAGTAAAAAGTCAGGAAGAAATAATGAAAGATAAGGAGATAAGCCAATAAATGCTGACAGCGTTCTTCCATGGTTATGCGATTTCTCAACTAACGCTAAGAGCATCATTCAGTGTTTAATTTAAAGAGTTTATGGCACTTGCAACACAAAAAGGTCACATAAATGCTGAAGATCAGAGGTGTAAAAGGAAAGTAACATACACAGAGAAGGAGGAGAGATAAGGACAACAGATGTTTGATGGGAAAGAAGGAGCACACCACAAAAGGGCACCCGCCTACTGCCCCCCTATGGATAATCTAAATGAAAAAGAAAACCCCCCCAAAAAAACTAGCATCTCTCCACTTACTCAAAGTAACCGCTAAGCTGTAAACTACTGCATTCTCCGGAACTTTCCCTACCACTGTCAGGACTTTGCCATGTAGCTGTGGGTACAAACAAATAACAAACATTACACAAGGGTAGAGAACTTGCCATACTCTCAAGCTGCAGTTGCACTTTGTGGCGGAACTACAAGAGACACCTTACATCTCAGTTGGACAGGTAAATCAACCCATCACTGAAATTAATGGATGTAAAGATCATTCAAACATGTTGACACGGAGGGAGGGAGGGAGCGAGAGAGAGAGAGAGAGAGAGAGAGAGAGAGAGAGAGAGAGAGAGAGAGAGAAAGAGAGAGAGAGAGAGTGTGTGTGTAAGTGTGTGTGTGTGTGTATGCATAGATGTCATAGAAGGAAAAGATCACATATAGATATTTTTTTTATTTTCATCACTTCAACCTGCTGCTAAACAAAAATTACCGCTGACAGAGTATCATTGTCGCTCTTACAATATGACCCCAAGCAGAGAAGATTTACAGGAAAAGCAAAATACATTTTGTTTCATCATGCAGTCATGGAACCTGGATAAGAGTCACAAAAATCAAAGTACAGAAAAGTGGGACGACATGAAATGACATCAACAGGCTAGCCCAGCATAGGGAAAGGTGGAAGTGTTTGTCCGTGGCCTATGCCCAGACCCAGGGTGAGAATAGCAACAATGATTATGATGATGATGATGCGCCAGTGGGTTGTTTTTTAGTTTTAGTAAGAGTTTTACTGCACTTGCAACACAATAGGTCATATAAGTGGCAAAGAATAGATGTCTCACAAGAGAGTAACATACACAAAAAGGGAGTAGGAGAGAGAAGGACGATAGATGTTTTATAGGAAAGAAGGAGCAAACCACACCAGAGCACCCGCCAACCACCCACGCCAGTGGGTTGTCCGGATTAATTTCTAATATTTTAAAAGTAATTCTAGTCAAAATTCAGACCTGTCTTTGACTGAGATGAAATGGATAATTTACAATCAATTCATCAAATCTTTTAAAAATGGATATTCTGGGGGCTAGGCAGTCTTTATGAAAGGGTGACAACATATGAATACTCAAAGTATATGACTAACAAGAAGCAACACTGTATGTCCCTCCAGGGACAAAGATGAAAGACAAACAAAACAAGTTTTCAAAAAGTTAACATAAAGCCGCACCTGTTCCCTGTACAAACCGGAGGCACTAAATCTAATGTATCAATTTTCATCCTTCAATCAACCAATGCCAACAGGAGCACACTTAACCACCATAATTCGTCGCATAATATGTGTGTGCGCCTAGAAAAAGGTACCAAAAGTCGCCCCAGACCGTTTTGAGCTACAGGCTGATAATGACAAAAGTCACTTTTTTGACCAAACTGTGTTTCCATTAAAAAAATGATAGATCCAACATTTTTTTACAATGTGCTCAAAAGGTTTACATTTGTAAATCTGAACACCAGACCCAGGCCAACTGTATATGAGTGGCATGCATCAGACGAACACAATACCTCCTAGATTTCTCTTGCTCGCACTGTCTGTCAGTTTCATTTTCCCCTCCTTGATTCGCTCAAGAGCCACATTGATGTCCACCATGGGTACAGAGCCAATGGAACGGGCCTGTTTCAAGATTTTGATGGCTTTCTCCGTGTTCCCTGAGACAGGAAGAAAAATCAAATTTGCAAAAATCAGAGACACTTTATTTTGTTTTTTAATCTCTAAACATTACAGTTGCAAGTCTTGTTACCTGGAGTTGAGTTTTAATTAAAACCAGCTGGCACGTTAATGGTCATATTCCACCAGGACTAGACTCCAGCACTGCAAATGCATGCCGCCAAAAGAAGTCAAAGAATAGAAAAGCCTGTAAAAGTGCAGTAAAAAAAGGTCACAAAAATATTGTTAAAAAAAGAAAGGGGGATGGTAGTGGGAATTCTTTTGGAATGCAATAGTCATTCTTTAGATTAGTCCCCTCTACACTCTAAAAAATTGCAGGAAAAAACTCGTTAAAAAAATTGTGTTATTTGAATCAGTCTAAATATGATGATTTCAAGGAGGCTAAATGAAAATCTTTTAAAAAATCTTTTAAACGCCAGAGAATGCTTATGTGCACAGACATGACATAACATAGACCTGCCACTCTATGAAATCTAAATGTCAGGATCTCAGGGTAAAAAGAAATAGGGATCTGGTGAAAAAAATCTGGCTCAACAACAAATGACCAAGGCCACTGCCAAGCTGGCTTAAAAATTTTCCAGGGGTGTCCATATATATATATGCATACAACATGTGTATATATCCTCTGTGTTTGTTTGTCCAAATGTCTAACAAAAAAATCAGGATGCACGCGATTGAAATCGGGATGAGTGGCAGGTCTGCATACCAGGATAACATACCTCTCTTCACCTCGAACTCTGCACAAGCAATATGAACCACAGAATGATGCCGGAGAGTCCTGCGGCCCAGAGACAGTAACTTCTCCGCATCACCTTCATCCTGCTGCCTACACCGTCAAAGGACAAGTCAGGATGAAAATGTGGAAAAAAAAAGTTAAGAATATAGTAGTGAACATGAATATAGCATAACACATACATTGTATGTAATTGACGTTAAGAAGGCAAAGAAAAAAAAAAACTGCCTAAAAGTTCTTGTATTTATTTGAGCACTACAGCTGCAAGTAGTAGCTGTTCCCATTATTAGAGCCAAACTATTTTTTTTTTAAAGTATGCTCATCACAAAAACAGCAAGAATATGAAGTAAATAACTGCACGATAAAATAAGCACAATAAATCCAACTAATTCTGCTTGCCTGTCAAGTTTACATGTATACACTGAAACATTCCAACAGTAAGTCAAGAAATTAACTGTTTCCTCTAATATCCAGTTTCAGTAGTCACAATTCAGTCTTCATAAAAATGTTGGAAAAGGGAATACCATGCTAGAAAAAATCTGGTAAGTTGGAAAATAACTTTTTTTTTTTTTTGGTAAGTGTTTTATGGCGCTCGCAACTGCATAAGGTCATATGAGCGCGCGGGACACACCTAATACTTTTTAGTTGGTAAGAAATTTAGATTTTTGCCCGGGTGGCGGACGAAGCCTACTCTTATCGATTTTAGACCACCATGGGATCTTTAACGTGCGCAACTTGCACACAGGCCCTCCGAGATTTTTCGCCCTTATCCGAGAAGGCTAGGTGTAGATCTTTCCTACCAGAAGATCAGGGGGGTGGCAGAAAGACAGCTGTAAGAAGGAGTCAAGGAGTAGCAGTAGAAAGGCTGCAGAAAGAGTCAGGAGCCCAGAGTAGGGGGCAAAGGAGGTGAGGGGGTGGGAGCAGAAAGAGGAGACGAAAGCAGACGACAGAATATTGCTAGAGAGCAGGAAAGGAGGTGAAAGGAGACAATTTTAGAAAATATAATTTTTCGGTCGCTACCCGGATCCTTTGAATGAGAGGCCAACACCTTAACCTCTAGGCCACGAGAGCCCCCGGAAAATAACTAGAAGCAAGAAAATTTACAGATCTGAGTAATGATAATTTGGAAAAAAAAATGTTTTACTTCAAACTTCGATGACCACTCAAAGGTTTCTCTAATTCAAAAAAAGGCAGGAAACGACTACCTTTAGCTGAATAAACTGTTCCTTTAATATTCATCCTGAAAGCCTCAAAATTTCAAATCAACCCACTTACTGAACTCTGAAAAATATCTTCCATCTGTACTAAATGAAGTATTGTTCAAATGATCAAAGCGAAACTTACCCTTTGAACTCTGCATAATCAACCAGGAGCTGTGCTCGAGACAGAGACTTGCAGGATTCTGGAATGACCTGAGACAGAAAGAAGAAGGCAATTTTCGCAGGATCTTAGGCTAAAATTTGACGCGCAAAGATACTTTCTTCATGTATGTATAGTATAAAGAATCAAGACCTAATCAAACAATGAATGAGAATGGAAATGGACTGTCTTGTTTCACTGTTCTAAGGCAATAAATAAGGCTCTAAAGGAAAAAAAACCTGTAACAATGGTATTATTGACTATCACTAAATTATTTGTTGACAAAGACCCACATAAAGTGATGTCTTGCTGTGGTCAAGCAGCCTGCTTTGTTCAATAGAACTATGCTCGTGCCAAAATTATCCTTTATCATGAGTAAGCAGTTCAGACTAACCACAGTGTGGTCACAGGTACATAAAAAATATAAGGGGAAAGATCACTGTTTAACCTATTCAACCTATTAACTCTTTAGATTGTGTATGGGATAAACTTGTGTGTGTTTGTACGCATAAACTAAGCTACATTTGTAGTTCAGCCCCGTTACCGTATTGGCGTTGGCGTGGCAGAAAAGTCGCCACAGTTGACATATCATTCACAAACAGAGCAGCAAGAGAGGGGAGATAGAGAGCAACTGGACAAGTCTGATAAGTACACTTTAGTACACGTTTTTAGTTTTAGTTTTAGTAGAGGTTTTACGGCGCTCGCAACTGCATAAGGTCATACAGAGCGCCAAGAGGTGGATGTCAACAGAGAGGTCCTTACACTTACAAGGAATCAGGAGTACTCTGCTCACCTTTCTAGCTTCAACAGCACAAAGTCTGCTTCGACTATCAAGGCACCACGGAAATAGTGGGTCACAAGATGTGTTTTGGTAAGTATTTTACGGCACTTGCAGCACAATATAAGGTCATATAAGTGCCTAAGATAAGAGGTGTTACAATAGAGTAACAAACACAAAAAGGAGGGTAGATAAAAACGATAAGATGTTTGATTGGAAAGAAGAAGCAAACCACACTGGAGCACCCACCAACCACCCACTCATAAGAGTGCGACAAACATACAAAAGAAGTAGAGGAAAAATGACGATGTAAGGATAAGGGGAAAAAAAGCAGCAGTCCCCTGTTGCAGTTCAGGCACAGTAATGAGCATGACATCGATGAATCAGCCCATTTACAAGTCTATGGTGCATAGGAACATGTAAATGTCTCCCCTTCGGGAATGGCCAAAAGACACCAGCCAGTAGCACCGCCTCGGGGGGTTAGTACACGTATGCATTTTTGTTTTAGTTTAACTTAGAATTTTCCGGCACTGGCAACACAATTATAAAGTCATTTGAGTCCAGAAGATTAGAGATGTTACCAGAGAGTAACCTACAGGATGGCAGCTGATGTTTGTTAAGAAATAGGGAACAAACCACACACAGAGCACCCGTCAACCACCCACTTGTATTCTTGAATCTTCAAGGACTGAATGTAGTATTACCTTGAAAGCATTATAGTACAAGTATGCCAGCGTCTTGTTCTTCCTGGATTCATCCAATAAATCAATTCGTTCCTTTATGAGATCAATGTACTCTTTCCAGTCCTCTGGGCGGTTTCCATTTGCAGCTATCTTTTCCATTTGTTCTTTATAATTCAGAGAGATAGCACTTGGTCCTGTGAAAAAGATGACAACATTTTCATAACTCACAAATGATGATCAGTCGAGATAGTGGAGAAAAATGATCACTTGCATTCACAAAACGAACGAAGACAGCAAAACACTTTTAGAAATGTTCCTAAAAATTGTACTTTTTATAATCATGTGTTATTTCTTAAATGACTCACAAGAAACAGAAAAAAAGAAGGAAATCACAGCAATGCTTTCCTCTCAATAATGTTTTGATAATTATCATCAAGTCCACATTGGCTTTTGATTCATGCCCAAGAGGCTGAGTTGGCGCAAAAATATCTTTTGCATTTTTTCCCCTCAAAATCTTAACCCCTTTGCAACATGCTGACATACAACTATAAAGGTAAAAGTTAGTCATGTCACCTAGTGACTTTTATTTAAAGCATACGGCATTATAAACTCATCTGAGTAGTTACCAGAGGCAGTAAAACCAGTAGGCCCATTCATCTTGGAGTCTTGGCAAATACTCGAGAATGAAATTTAGTAACCCAGGCTAATCAGAGGCTGTGGATAAGACAAAAAATGAGATAAAAAGTTAAAAGTGATAGAACTAAACTAACAACCGGTTTCATCAAAAATTACGTTTTTAAAAGTAAAAGGTAGCCTCTTCTATGGCCTCTACTATTAAATGCACAGGCAACCTTGCTGTCTCATTCAGTCAGTCATTCACACTGCTTCCACGGGAGGACTTCCATAATGAGCGACCACTATAAGCCAGAGTAGAATAGAGGGCTAGGGGTATGGGTATGGGTTAGAGTTGGGTCGGGCTCGCTGAATCAGCGTCCGCGAGTAATGAACTGAACTACTCGCCGGCACTACCCGCAAACGAGCGGGCGGACGGGGAGCGACTCCTTCCATTGCATATATGATACTACAAGTTTACACCCCCCCTCCCCTCAAAAAAAATCACCCTCCTGCCCCACATTGCAGCTAGACGTTCATGACGGAAATTTCTCTACCACCCCCACCCCCCCAAAGGCCTCTGGGAATTATTTAAACTTCGCCTTCGCGATAATTACAATGTACAGAGTGAGACCTCACACGAGGTGAAAGGTTACACACAAAGCACTACGTCACCAGCCTCTCTCACTCGCTGTGGCACCGCTAATTGCTTGAAACACTAGGCCTAATTAACAAACAATAGACGACGGGTCTAACCTCGCATCGAGTATCTCGACTGCTAGAGTTCGTCCGTTCGCTCGCCCGCTCAGTGAATAAAATTGTGGAGCGGACCCAAGAAACGAACTGACTCGAGACTTGAGGTCCGCAGTCTGCTCGCTGAGAGAGTAAAATTGTGGAGCGGACCAAAAAAAATGAACTGTCTTGAGGTTCGCAGTTCGCTCGCATGGCCGTCCGTTACCCACTCGCTCTGACTGAGTCCGCGAGTAACGAACCCGTCTCTCCGCTCGCCCCAACTCTACTTGACTGGTTCAAAGCGCACAAATTACTACACGCTGTTAGATAGGCCTACGTTTTAAAGTGTGATAGCTCTTTAATTAAAAACCATTGAATCAAATACTTCTTAAACTATTAATTTGCGACATAAATGAAGTTGATATAGGCTAAGAATAATTTGTGAAGGCCATTCAGGACATCCATATTCTAATTCCAATTATATTGTAGAAAATGGAGACCTGGTAGCTAAGTGTAAGACGGGAGGAAAAGTAAGAATAGGAGAGAATCCACTTTCAATAATGTACGCAGTGGCTACATTCACAGCGCCGTGAACGTAGTTTTCAGGCTACATTCCTGGCACCCTGAATGTAGCTCGAAGAATGATCTTGCTCACTTCACCCCCTACCTTTTTCCCTTTTGCTTCTTTTTTTCACACCCTCCCACCCCTCTTCCCGCCTTGGTCTTCTTCCATTCTGCCTAGTTTCTTCGAACGACTTTTATTTCAATTTGTCGAGCGTTGCTGGTTCCGCACACGGGAAGAGGATCGAAGTCATGTTCCCCGCGCTGAGCGAGCAAGGCCTTATCGCCCACAGCAGTTTTGCTGTGCCTGCCTTCGCTTTCCGTAAACTTATTAGCTTGGTTCCATTCCTACTACCAATGCATTTATTTTACAAGTGGATAGTTAGAGAACGTTAGGAGTATGCCATTGGCCGATATTTATAGTAACAGCCATCTTGTTTGACCTATTCTTTAACATTGACATTGACGATTTAGTCAATAAGCATGCGGCAGATTTCACGGTAAGGGTGTGAGAGACAACACAGGGTTTATTTTTTTAATAAAATTCTCCTGTTGTACTGTTTTGTGTTCAATTTGTGTTGTTTTGATTGTTTATGTGCCCAATAAACACGTGAATAAAAAGCAAGTGTTGACTTTGTTTATTTCGTTTGATATTTTGCGTAACAGGGTTGCGGACGTGAGTATTGAGACTTACAGCGTTTCCCGATGTTTGCGAGTCTGACAATTTTTGTTTTAAATGGCATATTATGCTAGATTTTCGCCCAAAATGGCTAGAACACCCAAGTAGTATGTTTTTCTAATGATTTATCTAATGTGACGAGTGAAAAAAACGAAATGGAGCGCCGGTTTGAAACGGCAACGGACAGAGCGAAATGGTGGTCGTAAATCGCGGGTGTAAGCCTTATATTTTGACTCAACGTGAAGTGCTAAATTTACTTCCAAAAGCAAAATGAATGCAAGTTTTTATGCTCAGACTAAGCGATACTCATTTCTACATCGGCTTTAGCCCTAATTTGCGAAAATTGAAGAAATTATTAGTAGATTCGATAGTATTTTGTGACGCACCCCTCCGGGTAAGTCTGCGACAGCTCACGTGCGCGATCGGCATTTCTCGGAGATTTACGGAAAATCACGAGGGCTTTCCGCAAAGCCGAGGCTAAAAACTACTTACTTCCGTTTGGCGCCCTTCTTTCATTCTTTAGCGTCCTTTTCGATGAGTTGGATGTTTTGTTCTTGTTTTCCAAGTTTTTTCTTTGTAAGACTACAACTTGCGAACCCACAACGTTGCAACGCATTACAAATCCAACCCGCTTATCTGTCATATTTATTATGTTTATTATATTGATTGAAAGACTGCAACACAACGTGCAGCATGTGTAGGAAGTTTAAACAAATGACGTTAGGGACAAAAATAGCGCGTTCTCTTTGTGATTGTCTTGTTTGACACCGAATCAGCTTGTGAGAGGGGGTTATTCATGTGTTTGTAACACTTTATAAATATAGAAAGCTATGAGAAAGATAGATCTAGAGCGTTATTTTCATCATCGCCATTATTCGGACTCGAGTCCGAATAACATTTTTTCATGTTCGGACTCGAGTCCGAATAAAAAAAATTCATATTCAGACTCGAGTCCGAAAATGAAAAAATGTTATTCGGACACGGTCCGGAAAAAAAGGAAGTGTCTTCGTTCTATAGATCTAACGTTCAGTGCTTCCAATTTTCCGCCATTTTTTAGTTTCCCCCACAATTAATCTGCCGATCCGATGCCCGCCACCTCATTGATACGCCCCCACACCCCCCATGTTTCCCACTTTCTTTGTTGTAGAAAAAGGTAAAATTAGCAGATCACCTGGCACCTGCATATAATTATGAGCTGTGTAAAAAAAAAAGACCTCTTCTGTGTCATCTCGATTTTTTTACCAAGAAAAAGTTATGTTGCTGTGTTACAGTGTAGAGCCGAGCATACGGCAACTTTTGATTTCATAGACCAGCGCACAATTCATTTCGTAGATCTACGTCAAGACTGGCTTATATTACTGTAATAATGATCAGTCGCCAGGGGGTGGTGAGACTGACGCGTATGCGACGTTTAAAGCCTGGACCGATAGTGCCCCCCACCACCCTCCCCGACACGCACACAGCCACACGTGTGCAGGCCGCCCATCCGACCCGGACACACGCTAACGAGCCATCTTTAATTGCTTCTGATGACCTCTTGACAAATAAACATTTATTAGAAGCGCTATAATTTTTCAGGCCGGCCTCAAATTAATCATAAAAGATAAACTCGGCCCCTGCACAATTTAACGCCATTTTGCTCGAAGTGATCCCGGTCTCTACCCAGCCTGAGGCGAGTCACGAGTGAGGCAGGACAGGAAGCCGGAGTCACAGGAAGTCGGCAGTGATGTCATGCTGGACAAGAATCAGAGTCTGAATAACATTTTTTCATATTCGGACTCGAGTCCGAATAGTCACCGATTATTAACACACTCCCACGGTATTCATGATTCATGGGGGAAACACACGTTTCCCGGCACGCGCGCTGTACACCAACAGTACACACTGAGTGACCGCGGTGGCCTGCCCGGAACGTCCGACGTAATTGGTAGCTGTCTATAAGATTCGCATCTCAGCACAGACGCTGACACAGGACAAGAGTTAAAATTTGAAGTGATTATTCGGACTCGAGTTCGAATATGAAAAAATGTTATTCGGACTCTGATTCTTGTCCAGCATGACATCACTTCCGACTTCCTGTGACTCGTGAATCCGGCTTCCTGTCCTGCCTCACTCGTGACTCGCCTCAGGCTGGGAAGAGACCGGGATCACTTCGGGCAAAAAGGCGTTTTGTGCAGGAGCCGAGTTTTAATCTTATGAATTTGAGGCCGGCCTGAAAAGTTATAACTCTTCTAATAAATGTTTATTTGTCAAGAGGTCATCAGAAGCAATTAAAGATGGCTCGTTAGCGTGTGTCGGGGTCAGATGGGCGGCCTGCACACGTGTGGCTGTGTGCGTGTCGGGGAGGGTGGTGGGGGGCACTATCGGTCCGGGCTTTGAACGTCGCATACCTGTCAGTCTTTTTCCCCCCGGCAACTGATTATTATTACAATAATAAGCTAGTCTTGACGTAGATCTACGTAATGAATTGTGCGCTGGTCTATGGAATCAAAAGTTGCTGTATGCTCAGCTCTACACAGCAACACAACTTTTTCTTGGTGTACTTTGAACGAATCGGTCTTTTTTTTTTTTACCACGCGCCTAAATCAGAAGGTTAACGTTTGCTGGTAACCCTCCTTTTTTTACCTTTTTCTACAACAAAGAAAGTAGGAAAATTGGGGGGGGGGGGGGGGCGTATCAATGAGGCGGCGGGCATTGGATCGGCAGATAAGGTGTGGGGGAAACTAAAAAATGGCGGAAAATTGGAAGCACTGAACGTTAGCTCTAGAACGAAGACACTTCCTTTTTTCCGGACCCGAGTCCGAATAACATTTTTTCATATTCGGACTCGAGTCCGAATAAGAATTTTTAAAATTCGGACTCGAGTCGTTAAAATTAATAAAATGGAACTAGACTTCTACAATACAATGTCTACAAGATCACCGAAATTTGGGGAGGACTTCCGTAACGAGCGACCATTATGAGACAGAGTAGAATTGAGGGCTAGGGGTAGGGGTAGGGGTAGGAGTAGGGTTAGGGTAAGAGTAAGGGTAGGCCTAGATCTAGATCTTCTTTACTTTAATTTTATTGCGTTTGATGGGGTGGTCGCTCGTTACGGAAGTCCTTCCGAAATTTGTATGTTGTTATTAGATCTAAATCTAGGAAGTGGAGGCGCAATGAACAATGTCAGTGATGAATGGTGTGACTAGATCTAGATCTAGAGATTCTAGATTTAGATTAGATCTGGCTGGATCTACTGTGATAGACGGGGCAACACAACAATTCTGTCACAACACACGATTATAAAAACAACCCTGTCAACCGCCCAGTCTTGAGAATAATAATGGGAATGGCTCTCAACAGATAAGTTTAGATTCTACTTATTATTCAGTTGACTCCATAGGGAGGGTCGTTCGGAATTATGGAATAGCATGCTAGGCCTATGTGCAAGGTTTACGTACTTGTAAACAAAAACCTCACAAACTCAACGTACAGTTGAATGAAATAGCCCTCTGCAGACATTGTTTCAAATCTCAAATCAAAATGGCCACCTAAAAATCATAACATGCCGACGATTGGCTGGTGTCCGAATATTCTGTTTTCATTGGCCAGTAAAAATATAGCTGTAGGTGTCGATACAAAATACCACCCCTTACTTCATTTTACACACCCAAAACATAAAACCAGCTAATAGCCTAATGTTTTCATCGGGACGACTTTAAAGAAAAGGTTATACCTTTTTGTATAACTAAACTAGATAATAATTAGTAGTAGTAGCTCACAAGCTCATTGCTGTAAACTCATAAGATCGATAACGAGTGGGTTTCATATAATGACTATCCTCTGATGTCTCTTCCCGGAAAGACAAGACTTGAAATTGTGAGGAAAATATATCAGCAAAATAATAACGCAGACAATCATGGCTTCCGTTGTGAATCATTGCTATTGCTACAACAACAGCCTTACCAACAACAATAACATAAACAAAACAAAAAATCAGTTACAAGAACAATGGTAGTAACAATTAAATAACAAACATAACTAAGTACTACTACTTATACTAGACTACTACCAAAGATTGTGTAGATTAGTAGAGAATCTTTAATTGCTCTACTACTACTACTACTACTACTACTACTACTACTACTGCTACTAACTACTACTACTATGACGACGACTACTACTACTACTACGACGACTACTACTAGCCTACATGTACTACTACTACTACTACTACTACTACTACTACTACTACTACTACTACTACTA